AGACCCAATTGCGTCCACGCACAGGGAGGGCCAGTCGTTAGCACGGGCTAAGGGGCGCCATCAGTCAGTGACCTTTGGCAAGCCGCTATTTACGAACGAAAAATGGATGACACGCGCGAGGTTTTATTTCTGCTGCTGACATGTTTCGTTCTAATTTTGAAGCGACGTGCACAGGAACGCGAGAGAAGACGAACCCAACTTATTTGGTTGCACAAAAACAGTATACAACGGGCGTAACAGAAAACAGAGTTTTATTAATGCATGTCGTAAACAGCGAACCAAATTTATTTTGTCTACGATTGGAGCTGCTGTACGCTCTACTACAGCGACCAGATCGGTGTGGAAGCGTGTACACTGAGCTCGGTTGCCATTCTGGGAATGAGAAAGTTGGATATATTTGATCACGTGCATAATGTTCACACCCAAAGGTCGCTGCAGAGGGCGTTCGCGCACACTTCGTTAGCCCGTGCTAAGGGTCTAGACCGCGTCTTAAATTTGGATCAGATTTAACATGTACTTAGCATTCCTTAGCCCGGGCTAAGCGTTCACGCACGTTTGCTTAGCACGGGCTAAGGAATTTGACCTCTTAGCCCGTGCTAAGGAGCTGTGCGTGAACGCAACTATATACATGTAGCTTAAATATAAACAATACATATTTGCAAAACTTAATCCTCTTCACACATGTATGCCTTTGTAGTCTGTCTGCAATGTCTTTTATGAACTTATGTGAACTTATGTAAAATAGCAGGAATGATTCAGAGTGTACAATTAGTGAAATATTCACAGGAAAAAATAAACACTTTTGTAAAAATATAGTGATCTATCTTCATCTATATGGCTAGACACAGAATTGGAAATCATTTATATCTGCTGACATTAAGAGAAACTGTTATGGTGATGGTACATATTTAACACTTTGACCTTTCAACATCTAATTATGTCATCCTTCACAAAACAATCAAGAAAATATGAAATTGTGTTTATTTGGTTCAAAATTAACAAAACCTTTAGAAAAATGCATAATAATGTGCAAAACGTTGACCAACATTAAAAAATTATGACATTCAATTTGTTAAATTGGTATTATACATGTGTATTAAATGCAAGCTGTACTTCATGTAGATTACATGGTAGATTATTGCACAGACTAGTTGGTGACTACTTATGATTTTATCTTAAAATTAAGAATTGTGTACAGTCTGCAAATGTTAATAATAAAAAAATTTATTTTTGATAGGCCAAGAAAGAAGAAATACAGAGGTTGGAACAGATGATGAAAGTTGTGAGTGATGAGAACTGTGATGAAGTAAAACACCAGTTAGAAGCATGTGTATCTGAGGTGGATATACTAAGAAATGAAGAAACTAAATTAACAGGTATGATAGTGTTTTTGAATTTCATGCAACATTTTGCACTTTTCGATGATTTTTGACCAAATGGACATAGCTTGATCAAAATAAGAAGACTGGCTTTCAAATGGCTAATGGCTGCTATGTGCAATGCCTGTGTCAGTTTCATGCTATTTTAATAAGCTGCTTTGCATAATTATTTTGTTCATCGTTAAATCTTAAGAGCCACTTATAGGATTTTGAGTACTATTAGTGAAGATCTGTGCATAATTTGCATAATAATTAAAAAAAATTATGTACATCTACCGGTAGTTGTATCTCAGGAACCACTGTTTAATTACAAATTAAATTATTAGATATTTCTTTAGGTATTTGATTATATTTATAATGCCCTCCACAAAACATGTCATACATGTACAGCATGCATCATTTAATACTGAGCAGCACATTACACCTTTTTTTAAAGGCTTTTTGACAGAGTTATAGAAAAACTTTTATGAAAAATCAAAATACTAATTCAATGGCAATTTGAAAATAAAATACTGTGTATACATTAATATTGAAAACAAATTGACCGGAAACATGCCTCTTTATTTTCTGGGTCTATAAGGACCGGAAACATGCCTCTTTATTTTCTGGGTCTACAAGGACCTAAACATGCCTCTTTATTTTCTGGTTCTAACAAGGACCGGAAACATGCCTCTTTATTTTCTGGGTCTAACAAGGACCGGAAACATGCCTCTTTATTTTCTGGGTCTAACAAGGACCGGAAACATGCCTCTTTATTTTCTGGGTCTAACAAGGACCGGAAACATGCCTCTTTATTTTCTGGTTCTAACAAGGACCGGAAACATGCCTCTTTATTTTCTGGGTCTAACAAGGACCGGAAACATGCCTCTTTATTTTCTGGGTCTAACAAGGACCGGAAACATGCCTCTTTATTTTCTGGGTCTAACAAGGACCGGAAACATGCCTCTTTATTTTCTGGGTCTAACAAGGACCGGAAACATGCCTCTTTATTTTCTGGGTCTAACAAGGACCGGAAACATGCCTCTTTATTTTCTGGGTCTACAAGGACAGGAAACATGCCTCTTTATTTTCTGGGTCTACAATGACCGGAAACATGCCTCTTTATTTTCTGGGTCTACAAGGACCGAAAACATGCCTCTTTATTTTCTGGGTCTAACAAGGAATTTTATAACTGTTTTATTTCAGCTGAGTTGCGTGACTTGAAGCCAGATCCTGTCGCTGATTTGAAGAAAAAAAATGAAGAAATGAGAAATAAAGTAATCGATGAATTGATGAAAACTGAGAGAGATTACGTCAAAGATATAAAACTGTGCTATGATGGCTTTATTGGATCTCTCAAAGACCAGAAAGTAAGTAGTAGGTTTTCATATTTAACAAATACTATTATTTGGTTTGTAAATGTTGAATGTATAAAATAGTTATAGAAATCTTTTTGTCTGAAAATATTATATTTTGTTACATTATTATATTATGTTCACATTTAAGAAGCATGTTTTTTTATGTGAGATATACCACATGCATGGTCATCCTTAAATTCAAAGCATGATTCATTTCATATTGCATTCAGTAATATCACCATGACTGTATTTAGTTCCAGACCTTGCTAGTCAGAGCCATAGCAGCCCAACAAGAAGCTAATCAAGAAGACAATAAGAAACAGAACAACAGACCCATTGTTGGTTTTCATTATTATTTTTTGCTCTATTATTATTGCTAATTTTTATTTTCTGGGTCTTTTCTGTGTTTTCCTACCTAACACCTAACATCACATATTTTTGTTGCATGTACTAATATTCACAAATACAGGTATAAGAGCTAATATTGATGGTTTTAATTCTTGTATAGAAAACAAATTCTGTTGATTTGTAATGTGTTTGGCATTTATACCCCAGGCTTATCTTGCACATTAATAATATTCATGGATTATTAAAAGATACCAGTACAAAAAAAGGCAAACATTCAACTCATGGCACTAAAAACTGTTAATGTACACACAGTCTCTCTATAAACCGGTCTAGAACCGGCAATGATTTGAATTGGGAATTACTTTTAATTTTAGCCACTGGCTGGACACATTCAAGGGGCTTATGAATAGGGTTCTGTCTGTTTGTCTGTCTGTCACATTATCTCAGAAGTTCATTTTTTCCAAACTTAGTACATGGTTGATACATTGATATTTCCTCCCAAAATAGCCTAAAAACCTACATTTTATATGTATTGAGAGATTGATTCTGTTAAGACTTGTATTATGGGTAACACCTGGCATACTGAGGCACATGCATTATTTTGCAGATTTTTTTTGGAATG